ACCAATGAATGCATATTTTTCAATACAACTTTTGAATAAAAACTCGATTTGATGAAACGGTCAGTGTGTTTCCAGTGTACAGTATACATCTCATTTACAGTGAGCATTTTATGTGAGGTAATGTTCTAATGGCTTCTACAATTATGATAGTCACTTTCAGGAATTAATAGTTATTAGTTCAAACTTTATCTCATCGTTGTCGACCTCGATAACTGGACAGAATTACTATGCTTGATTCATAAAATATGTATATCAGATAACTGAGATGTATTAAAGCAAGTTGGACCGTAGCTGACTAAAACTTCAGCATATCCATTCCTTTGTGTTACATCCAGTTTTGTTTACATGTTATTTTTTTCCTTCACGTTCCCCAGTGGAACATAGGGCTTCAAGTTAGAGGCTTGAAGTTTTTGTAAGTGTTTATTTTACAGGATGGGGTTGCTCGCCTCATGCTCAACATTTCCTCTTTACCAGAATTATTTCTGGCTTAGCGAGGTGAAGGAGTGCGTCTGTGGCCGGGGATCGAACCCCGGACCATATGCATGGTTGGCGAGCGTCCTAACCGCTATGCCACCGACGCACTAATGTTAACAAAATCTATCTGACGATATATATATATATACTTTTTTAGACATCAGTGCAAACTATGTTAATATTTTTCTCTATACGTTTTCTTTCTTTCTTTCTTTCTTCGTCTTTTTTGCAAAAAATATTTATTTTGGTACGTGGTTGCTTTTGTAAATTTGCTTATTTTGATGTTATTCACACACACACACACAGACTAGTTCTATTTCATATCATTTCATCACTCTTAGTTATGCATCCTACTTATTTGGAAAATAGACAAGTGTAGTGTAGTTTCATTGCTTAGAATCAATAACGTACATGAGGTGATTGTGATAACTCAGTGTGTGTACTTGCGCATATTTATAATATGGCGGTGTATATTTATTTGGTATGCTTGTCCAAGTGCTTGTAAGAGTGTTTAGCATACACAGAGATAGATAGTTTGATAGATAGATAGATAGGCACATACTCATTCCTATTCTACTCTTTTACAGTCTTATAAGTACCGTATTTCAAATGATTTTCAGTCAATAAATAAGTTGTGGTGAATGTGTATGTCACAAATTTATGCCGGCTATAGCGGAATACATGCATTAGTTCAATCCTGTATTAACTGACTGTCTAATCAAGGCTTTCTTATAACACAACGCATAAAATGTCTGAGCTGTATGTTATTTTATTATTATTATTATTATATCCTTTAATTCCTAGAGGAACATAGAGCTTCAGCTGCCCAAGTCTCCATTGCCTTCGCTTTTCGGCCAACGTTTTCACCCCGCTCCAAGTCTGCCCCCATGATTTCATCTCCTCTTCACATCACCTCCTCCAAGTCACCCCACCATCGCACTGACGACCAACTCGCCGCTTCCCTTTCGGGTCCCACTCGAGCGATGGCCTGTCTAGTGATATCACTTGATGGTTTCTTCAGAGTATGGCCGATCCAATCCACCTCTATTTCTTTCTGCCTATTTGTTTCACAATCGGTTCCTACTGGGTTGGTTTGCTCATTTCCAGAGATCCGTGTTGCTGATCTTTTCTGGCCGGCCATCTGATCTTGAGTGGTATTGAGCGAAGAAGGAAGCTGTTGATGAAGGTCTGTAGTTTGTTTGAGATGCTGTTTATGACGCAGTGGCCAAGTGTCTGATCCGTTTAGCGAGTAGCACTGACTTCACATTGGAGTTGGATATCCGGATGTTATTTTTGATGGTGAGTGGGGCTGTTGACCTCCACACAGACTTAAGAGTAATGAAAGCTTGTCTTGCTTTTCCGATTCTGGCTTCAATATCCTGGTCAGTTCTGTCCGCCTGCAGTTGAAACGATGCTTCGCAGGAAGGTGGGTGGGTGAAGGAGGTTGTTTCTTTCAGGTTCCTCCTATTTATGACGGCTGATTGTTGTTTGTTGTTGCTGCTGTTTCTGTTGGCGTTGACCAGGAATCTTCATCATCTACCTGTTTTCTCTATGTTCACCTGAAGTCCTGTCTTCTCTGGATGCTTCTTGTTCCAGCTTGTTGCTTTTGACTTGCATATCTTCCAGTTTGTGGGAAATCAGACATATATCGTCATCGGCGAAGTCCAGATCCTCGAAGTCTCTTTTTGTGTGAGTTCATTTTATGCCTATTTCCTACTGGCCGTTGTCTGTCTCATTATCCAATCTACTGCAGTCAGGAAGATCAATGGTGATTGTAGACAACCTCGCATATGAGTTGTATGTTTTTTTATTATATATTATTCATATTATTCCTTTGCGTTTCGAGTGGAACATAGGGCTTTACACCTGTAAAAGTGATGTTACTCCCTTTTTGTTTACGGAGTGAGCTTGTTAGCCTCACTCTCATGCTTTCCTCTTGTTTACTGGGCTTGTTAAGCGTGGTTTAAGAGTGCGTTGACCGTGGATCGAACGCCGGACTACTCGAAGCGTAGTAGTTGGCGAGTATTCTACCAACGAACACCACCGCCGCATCAGGATCCATCAGTTCAGTTCATTTTCTGGTGAGAATAGAAAGAGAAAAAAAAGAAAGGGGAGTGTGATAATTCTCAATGATACTTTGCTGTTTGTAAATGCTGCTTCAACCATTGAAGTTCTGAAATCTAATCAGTTGAAATTGTTCGATAAAAAAATGCAAGACGATGTGGATTTCACTATTTGCACGTAAACTTATTTGAAAAGTATTCATTCAAGTTCAATTCGCTATTGTATACATTTTAAAGGGGTTTATATAAAGAGAGTAAATCGACTACAAACTGTCTAAATTATTCTAATATCTTTTTCTAATTGGAATTAGTAAGATTAATCATCACCCAATGGGAGGTTCCATCATCTTCAGTGAACTAATTGTTGACGAAATCTCAGCACGGATACGAAAGCCTCGTTTGGTATTTGCTAACCTACGTTATCTCTGCTGTAGATATGAAATCCAGCTGGCTATCAATCAAAGGACGTGTGCACTGCTCAGTAGTTCGCTCCGTTTGACCTTCACGGCTGTCAGACATGGTCATTGAAAGTGAAGCATAAAAATACTAGCTGTCGTTGACCAGAGATATTTACATTCTATCTCCTGGCGGTTAGGGCGCTCGCTGACCATGCACATGGTCCGGGGTTCGATCCCCGGCCACCGACGTACGTTTTTACCTTGCTGAGCCAGTAATGAGACTGGTAAAGAGGAAGGGTCGGGCCTGAGACTAGCGTCCCCATCCTGTAAAAATTCACACTGCCACCGAAACTTCAAGCCTCCAGCTTGAAACGTTATGTTCCACTGGGGAACGTTAAGGAAAACAAACCTCCCATGTAAAGTAGTAGTATGATATAGTGAAGTAATATTGATGTTTTTATACGCAGAGTGTTAAGTAAGGAGACTAAGGCAATCGATGTGGTTGTGAAGGTGAATTGACTGAGATATCTAGAGCATGTGTTTTGAATGTCGACTGATGATTACGTAGGATTAGGTTTGAAAAGAGTTATCAGTAGTGAAACCAAAAACCTGGCTTTAATCCATGATGTCTTAGACATCTGGTTTCAGTTAGGTACGTATGTCGGTGTAGATTGCCTGTTGTTTAGGGTCCTTGCGATCGTAATAGCGAATGACTGAAAACTACTGGTGATATGGCTCAAAATCTCTCTCGATAATGCAGAGACGCATCCATTCTTTGTTATCCCACGTATCCACTAAACCATCATGTTTTTCTATGTGTTGCTATTCCTTCTCCCTCATATTTCTGCCTACTTTACCCTTCTTTTGAATATCTGTTTCCTCTTTATTATCTATCTCTGTGTGGTATACATGGGGTGTGGTAACTTGAAGTGATGCACTAGTGTGCTATGTTCTGTGCTGAAACTCAATCAGTCATTCAGTTAATTGAGAATTAGTGAGTTGTGAACAGTGGGGTCCGCTAAGTTGAATCTGATCAGTGATACTTCTTAATGACACTAACTGGTTGGGGCGATTTATATTGCGGATTTGCAGACGATAGAAATTTATGAACTATTGAATCCCGTCCAGAGGATGAATTTTTTTAATTGAGTCACCCCCTGGGTTGATTTCCTGGTGGAATTGTTGGTGTGCACAGATGAAGAGTCCCTGACTGGCTATGGCGAAACATATGTCTAGTGTTCTAAGTGTCTTCGGTTTATGATGAAGTATATACTGATATTAATGAAAATCCCCACAAAATGCAAAATATAAATATATACTAGCTGCTTCTATTATACCATATCTCGTAAACTAGTTTTCATTGTTTATTGTTATTATTATTATTATTGGTAGAAGTTAGAACATATATATATAACATAACATAACATAAGCTTTATTCCAAATCAGTACTTGTGATACAGAATGGAATTCTCAGCATTTTACTACAATATTGCATCCAGTTTTTTTTTTACATTAACAATAAATAAAGTTCTACATAGTTTAAAGTTATCTCAACAACATATTAGTATGTCGGTAGCAAAGCCAAAATTAAAGTGTTTGAAGGTGTTAGAAAAGTAGATACTACTAGCATATTTACTGGCGTAAGCGATAGCAAAATGTTCGAGATGTACAGAGTGTGAAAGAACGAACAAGAATGTTTTAAGTAGAGTTTGCAAGGAAGAGAGAAACAAAACAGCACATAACAAAAATAAATACAGAATGAAAGAGCGAGAATTCATGGGCCATTGAATCAGGGGGTCCCAGTGGCTGAATGGTATACGAGCCAGCTTGCCTTATAACCGGAAGGTCCTGGGTTCGAACCCTGGTAGTGGGGGGCGGATACTGCTGATGATTCTTAAACCAGGATGAAACAGCTGACTGTCCAGTACTCCCTGTGGCTGGTTTTCAATGATTCTCTAACTGATATCAATCCGTGGTCAAAATCATAAGAAGAGATTTAATCCTTACAAACCAACTCTTAAAAATTATTATTATTATTATTACTATTAATATTATTTTAATAAAGGTGTATTGAATTGGACTGTTGGGATGGTCGAGGCGAAGATCAAGAACCGATTATAACACATGGTAAAGCCATGTGTACCGATATACTATTCAAGGTGAGTACATCTCAGTTGGATAATTTTTAATTATTCTTTATTCATAGTGATATAATTATCTTAAATATAATAATAATGATAATAATAATAATAATGTTGTTTACTGTAACCTACTTATAGATTGGTGGCAATTTCCTAATGAATTTTCTTTTCGTTATTATTACCTCCTTCGTTGTTGTCGTTGTTGTTGTCGCTAAGAAAAATGAAGAAATAAATTTTCTTCTTTCATTCGTGATACATGATGATGCAATTCACATTTTTTAAATACTATTATGATAGTAATAATAATAATAATAATGGTTAAGACATAAAATTTACTTCCAATTTATATTTTTGTCATAAAAACCATTTTTATTTTCCTAAAGAGAGAGAGGAAATCGATCTTTCTCACACACACACACACACACTCTCTCTCTCCTTTCTTTTTCCTTTCCTTGTATTTCTCTCGCTTTCCGTGTGTCACTACTCTATCCCAGACGCGCATGTACGTGCTATAGTTTTTTGTTCACATGAATCTTATTGCTAATGTACATTTCCTCATCAGTATGCAGTCATTTGTTTATTATCATTATTATTATTGTAATTAGGAATTTTTCTTTTTGGTTAGTTCAGAGAAACGATAAATAACGTGCCTACATGATTAGGTAGATAAATATCCTTTATTTGACACTAGGTGATATATATATATATATATATATATGAATTATTAACTGGTTTATAACTAATGTTTTATTCTTCATGTTACCAGTACAACTATAATCGATTTTATCTTCAAACGAACTGTAGGGATTTGATTGGTTACAGGATTTCATCATGAGCTGACATTAGTTAGAGAACCATTGGAAAACCAGCTGGAAGTACTGGACAGCTGTTTCGTCCTAGTTTGGGACTCTTCAACAGTACGAACCCACCGCCAGGGTTCGAACCCAGGACCTTCCGGTTACAAGGCGAGCTTGTATACCATTAAGCCACTGGGACCTCTTTAACCAATGTCAGCTCATGATGAAATCCTGTAACCAATCAAATCCCTACAAACCAACACTAGAGTACCGATGAGACGCTCACTAGCGGCTTGCCTTATTCAAGTAGGTAGTTACCTGGGCTTCTAGTGAGAAGTCGTGACCAGTAGAGTGCAGCAGGTTGGGTGTGAGGACAAATACTCTCCGAAGACATTGACTAGGGGTCTCGCTATGTCGTAAAATGGCAGTAGTTAGAATTCATGTGATGGTCATTGGATTGGGTTCCTAGTGGCTTAATGGTCTACGAGCTAGCTCGCCTTGTAACCAGAAGGTCCTGGATTCGAACCCTGGCAGTGGGTGTGTACTGCTAAAGAGTCCCGGACTAGGACGAAACAGCTGTCCAGTACCTCTAGATGGTTTTCTGGTGGTTCTCTAACCCCTATCAGCTCTTGATAAAATCCTGTAACTGGCATTTCTCTAGGATTCACTGTATTTGGTTGTCAAATGTTAGTAAGAGTTATTTCTCCGTGAGATGCTCTGTTTCACCTAGTTCCCATGATTGTTAGTAATGAGCATCAGCAGTAAGAGAGATTTTAAGTGTAGTCATGTTGAAATACATGTTGTCTTGTAGACTTCAACTTGTCTTCGTCTAGTTCATAAGTGAATAGTTGTAATTCAAAGATGATAAGGTTGAAATTCAGCTGTCTAGTTTATTGTGTAGTAGTGTGGTGAGAGCAGGCTGCTAGCCAATTGGTAGACATTAATTTACGTCAATGTCTATGTCGCTAATATTGGCTGTGAGGAAATATGAACAAGGCTGATTCAACAACCAATCACAGCAGGCTTAACGTGGGCAAATACGATTCGCAGATAGATGGCTTAATTTTCTGAGAAACCGGTCACAAGCAGTACAGAATAACCTTGAGCGAGAAACAATCAGAAGAGTGTGTTTGTCTCCTTGAATAAGCTATAATAATGTACATGAAATATATATATAAATACGTGCTGATTTCCTTAATAAAACGATATGTTGCCTGGCCCCTGTCTTCTGTTGTTACGGTAGTAAGGTAGTAGAATTCTCGCCAGAAATGCATATGATCTGCTGTTCCATCGCCTGTTGAGGCACTCCCAAAACCTCTCTTGGCAGGAAGTATGTCCGGTATAGAGGGAAGGCTTAGTATGAGGCTGTCTAGCAACTCCACGGCGTAAGAAAAAGAATAGTGCCACTCCTATAGAAACCTCAAAGCTCAAAGATTTGAAGCTGTATATTGTACTTGGAATACAAAGGATACAAAAAAGTCGCGTATTGTGAGTGATTCATTTCATCTCTCCTTCCTGCTTAAGTAATTCTGTGGTATATAAGTTAAAAAACCAGCAGCAGCTGACTTATTTTGACTAAATAAGCATTAAAAACGGTATGTTTTATCTATAATCTGTGCTGATATATGTGGAGAAATTGCAAAAGTTGGACAAAAATCTGTTTGTGTATTATTTGTTCAAATCTATTGATATATTATGTATTCATGTTCGTAATTTCCTGTTGATATATATGACAAAACTGATCATTCTTGTTGTTAGTATACCGGTCCCTTTAACAGATACCTGTATACTAATCGGAGAAATGACTCAAAGTCACTAATGTGGTTGTGGTGGTTAGCAGTAGAATTCAACATACTAGTTTCTCCCTCTACGGACCTGTGGGCTGGATGTATTTCCTCCTTAGTGTAGAATGTTAGTGGTCTAATGCTCTACCTAGTGGACTAGTGAATATCTCTTAGAAGTTTGAAGTGATGGGTACTGACTTTGAGTCCTTATAAGGAAACACCATCATATATAGTAAATAAGCAAGTACACCCACCTGATGAGTCCCGAACAGAGGACAGTGTTGGCTTTCTGGATCCTACTGTCAGCGACTAACAAACAAGTAACCTTACAGCCGGGATTAATTTAGATTTCAATGGTGGTGAATACCCCTCTACATGCTTTCTGAACTTTTAAAGCCTCATAAATCGAATGTTTGTTTTTTTTCTTTCGTTGCTGGAATGTTGCTGTTGGACGTTAATGGATTTTCTGTGTACAATCCTTCTACTGATATATACAACTTTTGAGTCTTTTGGCTATTAACTGTGATGAGTTGGTGTTAAACTTAGGATACCTAAAGCCATCAGTAATTCATTGCACACACACACACACAAGCACATAGATATTCATCTTTCACATGCATATGTAAGGTTTGAAGATCGTGCATATTATTATTATTATTTTTATTATTATATCCTTTAATTCCTAGAGGAACATAGAGCTTCAGCTGCCCAAGTCTCCATTGCCTTCGCTTTTCTGCCAACGTTTTCACCCCGCTCCAAGTCTGCCCCCATGATTTCATCTCCTCTTCACATCACCTCCTCCAAGTCACCCCACCATCGCACTGACGACCAACTCGCCGCTTCCCTTTCGGGTCCCACTCGAGCGATGGCCTGTCTAGTGATATCACTTGATGGTTTCTTCAGCGTATGGCCAATCCATCTCAATTTCTTCCTGCCTATCTGTTTCACAATCGGTTCCTACTGGGTTGGTTTGCTCATTTCCAGAGATCCGTGTTGCTGATCTTTTCTGACTGGCCATGTGATCTTGAGTATTGAGCGAAGAAGACAGCTGTTAATGAAGGTCTGTAGTTTGTTTGAGATGCTGTTTATGACACGCTGGCCAAGTGTCTGATCCGTACAGTGAGTAGCACTGACTTCACATTGGAGTTGAAAATCCGGATGTTATTTTTGAAGATCGTGTATATGCTTTAAACAAAATGATGTTTATGTACCAGTGAAATATTCCCTGGTTAAGTGTTAATAGTCTTATGAGTAGTCAGTATTATATTTATCATAACTCTGAGTGTTTTTATTGTGTCAGGCCTTGTGGTGCAATCACAGTTATATCTGTTCCTTTATGTATATGTCTCTCATTTGAATAGTTAGAAAAAATTTCATTTATTGATTATTTATGAAACTGTTTCTCTTTCTCGTTTGGCAGAAATATGTCAATGTGATAGGTGTGTGTATTTCATCTTAGGTGAGAAATACCTTAGAAGTTGTAGTTTTCTACATTGGACACTTTATGCAAAATATTGGCGCCAGTGATTAATGACTGGCGCTGAGAGATGTACAACCATCTTATTCTTCAGAAGAAAAACAAAAACACATCAGCAACTTGATGTTCATCATAATATTTGAAGGCCTTAATTCAAGCGTGGAAGGAAGTCATGTTCACTGGCTATTAGACAGCTCCGTGTGGAGATTGAAATTATCTATCAATTGCCATCAGTCAGTTAGCCTATATTCCTTAAACTGGCTGATAAGTTTATTGTAATCTGGAGCAGTTTTATTCAGTTTGCGGATGATTCTATGCTTTATGAATAATTTACTCAAGTAGCTAACTAGATTTCGATTGGTTTGTATTGATTGATTCGGCTATCTGAACTGAGTCAAATCTAGCACACCACTGATGAACTTGGTTCGAAACCAGCGAAATAGCCATTTAGTTTTCAGATCATTTCGATCTGACAAGCAAGTACTACCTTTTGATGTGACTGGTGGCTTCTAGCTACTGATAACAAACAGTAGTATGTGACACCGTGCACTTAGTTTTGCACATTGCTTAAAAGTATGTGTTTTGCTATATTCATGCTTTAAATGCAGATAAACAAACAGATAATTGAATTTGTTATTATTATTATTCGTCCATTGGATTCAGAGTGGGATATTCTGCTTCAGAAGCATATCTTCATTTCCATCGGTTGTTCTGCGAGTCTATTTTAGCTGACTCCATAATTATTCATTAAGCTTCCATTCCCTTTCCACACAATCTCCACCATATCACGCTTGGATGCACAACTCATGATTCCCTGTTCGGGTTCCACTCAACGGCCTGGTATGTGGTATGTCACACAAGGTCTTCTCAGCATGCAACCAATCCACCTCCATTTTCTTTCGGATATTTGTTGGGCAATAATTTATCGGTTGATCCGTTGCTAGTTTTCTTACCATTCCT